AGGTTTAAAAGGTTTGCTTTCATTTGATCAATAAAATGAATAAAACACGGGATATTACTTAAAAATGTGTGATATTTTATTTTGCAATGATAGAAGTTCATTGACAGGATGAGTGAGCATTCATTTTTTTTTCTATGTGTTAAAATTATTTCAGAACTGTTTAAAGTGGCCAACAGTCACCAAGGCAACCAATTTCTTTCTCTTCACAAACATAAAGACAGAAATAAATCAATAAACTCCATCACTTATAACGGATTTGTGCTTGGGACAAAGTTATAAAATTAAATATTTACAGGACCTTGAAAATTTGTTCAGATCACCAATATTTCACCATCTTCACAGAAGATTATCTCCGTTATATTTAGATATGAGTTAATTGCTTTCAACATGTAATCATATATTTGTAATAGTATATGTCTACATGCTTCTACAATAGAAACCTGTTTACATATGTATGTTTCATTGAATGTGACAGACAAGGAAAATTTTACAAGCTTTTTATTCATTTTTATTCAGGCACCCTAAGTCATGTTTTTTAAATAGCCTCATCAAATTGACTTTCATATGGATGTCATGCATGGCACCAAATCCATTCATAAATATCTAGACTGTCAGCTCTATACAACCACTTTCTAAGATCAATAGTTGAAAAAGGCTTTGAGTGAGTGAAACTGGAGCATTCTGGCAAAAACCATCCTTCTTTGGACATTTTAGATTGGCGCTACAGGATCATAAATGAAGAATTGTACCAAATAACAGAATCCACATCACTTGAGGACTACCAACAACAGCAATAACTAAAATGGATAGCACATGTAACTCAGAGAAAATAATGACATAATCAAGATATTGACATTCTATAGTACATCAAACAAAAAGCTAGAAAAGAAACTCCCTACCAATACGGGAACGAGCAATAATAGCTTGAGAAACTTTTTTTTTTTTCCTAAAAACATTTGTAAGAGAAAGATTTTATAAATTTCAACTGACAATGATACTGGCTGTTCGATCAATGAATGCTGAATATTTCCTTATAAGGAAATGGCTAATTATGTTGATTAAAGAAAAAAAAAAAAGTCACAAGTTCATGTAAATGTATCACATGATGCCAAGCATGGAATTCTAGAAGTGAGTAAGAATCGATATTATGATTTTGTCTGGCATACAAGTATTCAGTGTGAATAGATGGGAATTACTCAGGAGTTTCCATACAGCTATGAATGATTTATTATTTACAACTCTTTTTCTGTTCCAAAGTGCCAATGACATTTTTATATTCCAAAACTGATATAAATATATTAGCACTTTTTTTCTCCTCTTTTTAACCATTTTATTTTTATAAAACATTCCACAACATTTTGGGGCATTTTTGCAACTTACATTTGAGTCATAACATTAGTTTGAGAACCACAGTCATAAATGACCTCTTTATTTCTTTCTTTTTTTCCTTTCCTATAATGGTGGTGGTGGTAGTACTACTACTATTAGTAGTAGTAGTAGGAGGAATAGCTACATTACATATCAAGTACATTAGGGAGAAGTAATTTGCATATTTCTTTATATTCAGGCTTATTTAACTTAAAAATAAATGTTGGGTTTTATACATAAAAGTTTATAAGTGTAAAAATATACTTTTTTTTAACATTACTCATAACTATTCTCAAAATAAAACTTTAATCCATTGTTGAAATATCCAGTTAAGGAAATATCTTGACCTTAACTTCCTCCTACTTCAAGTAAATTGACTTTTTCCTCTCTATATACATACATTTCCATATATGTAGGAACTCACTTGAGATTTTCTGGCTTATTTGTTGCTTCTATTTTCTTGTCATGAAGGCAGAAGTTTTTCAAATCTGATGGGGTAATGTACATTTTCAAATCTCTCTTCTCAAAATAACTGCTCACTTTCTTTAAATTTTACAGGATTTTATGTATTTTCTTTGCATAGTTTTTATTAAAAATAGGCAAACTTCATCTTTTTTTTCATTTTTTTTTTTTTAAACTGAACATGGTAAAATTAGTTTTCATTCTAGTCTGTTTTTTATTTTTATCTGATCCTACACCTGAATTTTAAACTATTCATTCATTGTCTTTTTGGGGTTTTTTTTTCACCCATTTTATTTGTTTTTAATTTATTTTCTTTTCAGCTTGTACCTATTTTTATTAGAAAGCCAAGTTTGTATAAAATTAATTTTTGATTCATCAATCAAAAGGGGTGACAACAAGCCAGAGGAAAAGACAAGGTTAAATTTAAAAAAAAGATGTTTTTTTTTATAGTTTAAGAATTAATTTTTTAAGAAAATGTTATTCAAAATGCCTTCTCAAATCCCAAAATGTCCTTTTAGGAATTTCTTGTACTTTTACTAATTATAGCACCCACTTTTTAAGACTGTTTAAGAGAATGCATAAATACCTGACTATAAGATATGCTAAAACAAACTTTATTAATATGACCTTTTATGAAATGATGCTGAAAAGTTCTCATCCTAACCCACTTTCCAAATCTGATCAAATGACCAAACATCAGAATATGTTTTTTATTAATCTCTTCTCAATCAGTTCCTTTCACCACCTTTTACACATTTGTTTAACCTTATTGCTTATAATTGCATTGTGATTAAGAAATATACAAATCAAATATAAATTAAAAAATAATTCTGACAAATTTCTTTATTTGCAGTTATTATTACATTCTTGGTTTATCTTGTATTCAATTGTTATTTGATCGTTGGATATGAATATATGATTATTGAATAGTTACCTTCTTAACTGAATACTATTTCTATTATTTCAATACATTTGTATTTGATTTAAATTATAAGATTTTGTCATTTGTATATTGTTCTACTACATATTACTTATATAATAACACAAAAGAAGTAGAATTCTGAGAGGACTCTTGTCTATTCACTATTTAACTGTGATGTCTTTGTTTACATGTGAACAATGAAATTGAAACTCTCAATACAGAACAAATTTAACATCTGGTAGCATGATCATAAATCTATCTATTGAGCTGGCCAAAATGTGCATTCTGTATTTGTTATTAGATTTTATTTGATGGTGTTTAACTAAGTTTGTTCCAAAAGATTACACATTGGGACAACTGTCATATCAGTATATTTTTTATTAGTCAAAATTAGAACTTCTTTGTTTGAGTATAACATTGGAAATGGAAAAAAATAAACAACATTTTTAATATTTTATGCTTGTTTTATTTTACTAAATTTAAAAATATGACTCAACCACAAAAACATCTGTGTAGTTTATAGGCAAAGTAAAGCATGGTATTAAGAAACCAAAAATTCATTAGAAACAAAGAAAAGAAAACTGAACTGTTATGTGATATAATCTTCCTATATGCCAGTGAATGTTGGACAATCTCCTCACAGATGAAGAAGAGACTTGTAGCAGTAGAAATGTGGTTCTCCAGGAGGTTGCTGAGAATATCATGAACCAAACATGTGAGCAATGACAAAGTTCTCGAGGTAATGGAAACAAAAAAGACACTTCTACTTATCAAGAGATAGTTGAAATTTCTATGGCAGATAAGGAAGAAAGGGTGCATGGAAAATTTGATACTCACAGGACAGATTGAAGGCAAGAGGGACAGAGGAAAACAACACATAACCTAATTGGTGAGCTTGAGTGAATGAATGGTAGAGCAAAGTTTGGGAGGGAGAGCCAAAAGTCAAAATTTATTAAGTGCTGCAAAGGACAGGAAATTGTGGAGAGCCATAATTGCCAATAACCTGAAGATACATAGCACAGAAATGGTTGTGAATGAACAAAGATCTCAAAAAGGGAGATTTATCACTAAAAGATGTTCCACAGTCAAGTAGAAATGTCAAGGTTCACAAGAATCAGATCAAGAAACTGCTTGAGAATAATCAATGTTATACAATATGGAAAATATTCAAAATATTCAAATCACTTGTCACAGTTTGGTTGTGTTCATTTATGTGTCACTCACATAAATGGGGGGGGGGGCTGGTACACATTTTGATACGTGATTTGCTACTTTAAATGTACCAACAATGTTTCATTTGATGAATAAATTGTGATTGGCAATTAAAAGTGAGTACTTTACAATAGGAAATACAAACAAAATGAACTGAACTAAAAGGTTTGCCTTCATTCAGTGAACATAATTCTTTATATATGGTGGAATGGGAAAATGAGTTTTCTACTGTGAGCTCCTTCCAGACGACTAAACAATTCATTTAAACAAGCAATGTTTCCAATTAGATTACCGAAGGCAGCAGTTAACAAAAAGTATCAGGATTTAATTAAGGGAAGAAGCATAATGTTCCCTCAAGATAATGATTTGGTGTCTAGATGGAAATAATTACAAGTTGGTGTGGAAATTTCCACTTTTCTGTCATATTCACTAAACACTACACATTTGAATTTATTTATTCAAGTTTTTACAGAATTCTCTCAATGAAACAAATTTCAATTTTATAAAAACCTACAAAAGGGACACTAGAGCAGTTCTTTACTCTGAAGGATAAAAGTTCTGGAAAGCTGACATCATAGAAAGAGAATGAAACAAAATGGTCAATATTTTGTTCAATAAAGTTACTATCCAAAAGAACAATAATAAACTTTTTAGTCAATGTTTCTGATATTTGCCACTCAACATGAGGTTCTTGAGAAATTATCTGATTCTAAAATCTCATTTGAAAAGATACTTATGTTTTCAAAAATGATTTGGCAATAAAAACTGAACTTTATTTTGTTTTATTCCTGAGATCACACTGCAAATGCCTGAAGTAATTAACTAGCTAGAAAACTTGTATATTTATAATTTTGATAACTTTTGGCAGTTATGATAGATCTCTTAAGACTAAGTATAAATGAAGAAAAGAACAGATTAAGAACTCTGACTTCAAAGAATTAATGCATTAGTTGCTTGTAAAATTGTTTAATTTTTATTACATATTTAAATGTATTTGCAGTAAAGATAAAAATCACTTTTCTTCTTTTTTTTGTAGAGGATGCTTTCCTTTGTAATCCTAAATACGTCCAAGCTCTTCTGATTTGCCTCTATTCAATAGAGCGGAATAAAGTTACCTTATTGGCAGAAATCAACCCTGTTTTGGTAAAGTATCCTCAAACTTAATTATAAATTCTCTGCAGTTAATAGTCTTATTCTCTTTACTTATTTGTACAGAACTAAGATATTTATGTAGCAAACTTCGTTTTTTATATAACCTGATTTGATAAGATTTACTAAACAAATACATCAACACACACACACACACACACACACACACACACACATATATATATATATATATATATATATATATGAAAAAGAAGTTGAAAATGCAACTGGAATCTTTAAGAATATTTATTCAGACTAACTTTACCAGTTTCACAGTTCTATGATTTTCAAAAGTTAAATTGAGAAGGAAAGACATGTGATTATGCTATGAGTTCTGATTTCACAAAAATATTACTTTCTTTACATTTTAAAAAAAAAATTTTAAATTTAAAAGTTTAAAATTTTAGCATCCTCTCCCCTTTGTGTACATGTAGTTACATCAACAGAAACATCACTTTCGTCTGAAGTCCTAAAAATAAAATGTGCCACACAAAAAACTTTCTACAACCTGAAATTAGAAACGGTAGTTTATATTTATGTGCCAGGATATGGGATTGGAGCTGTAATCCTATACAAATTTAAAAATGGTAACATGAATGCAGTAACACACTCCTCAAAAATTATTCTGCCAGAAAGGAGTGGACTAACATTTGCAGATGAATGCAATTTCAGATTATGAATGGATCACAAACCACTATTTGCAGTTTTTAGGTTTAAAAAAAAGAAAAGTGAATGCCAGTATACAGGCAAATAGACTGCAATTGTAAACAATTATGTTGCTGGTATATGGCTTCACATTAGAAGTCTCAAGATGATGATAACTGATAATGTCATGCAGTTTACAACCAAGAAGTCCTCTTTACTATGAATGAACAAGTGGAACGATTTGTTGATGCATCAAAAAAAGTATTAACTAATGGCTCAGGCTTCTTCATTATTGTTAAGTGCTCAGTATACAAATTCAGTTATGGCCTGAGTACATCAGTGGTATCCCGTCAACTACAATCTTCAAACATATAAATGTAACGTCAATCATCATCATCTGTCTTTTTTGAATCCTGTTCTTTATATAGTGGTGCCACCATGTCTTGTCTCTGGTGATTATGCAATCCAAAAAACAGACAGCTCAAAACCCAATATGGTTCTGCTGATCCTGACCAATTTGCATTTGATGGTCTTTTTTTTCTTATGTCATCATCCATAGAAACCACCTTGCACAAATTTTGCAATGTCCTAAATGTTGTCAGTGTAATTTTCAAAGCCATCAATGACACCAATATTCAGCTCTGTACTTAGTTCTCTTATTTAAGCTCATTGGCAAAAGAATAGATTATGTTGAAAAATAAATATTTCTTGAACACACTTTATATATATATATATATATATATATATAATGTGTGTGAGCAATAATAATCAGCAAACTGAGTTCAAATTCTAACTAACACACACACACATTATTTAAAATTTTCTATATTCATTAGGGAAGAAAACTCACTATTGGAGATTGAGCATTTATAGATATATATGTAGTGTAAACATCATCAACACTGTATGGTGACTGTCAGTTTCATGCTTTAATGCAATCTTCAGGTCATTCAGACTTAGTCTGAAGATCATATGGAGCATGAAACTGACAGTCGCCATACAGTGTTGATTCCTATGTCCACACTGAAAAGATAGAGAATATGTTTTCAAAATCTTAAATATTTGTCAGTGTAGAAATTTTTTTATTTTTGTTTTTGGTCACATCACTTTGCAAAAAATCCTCAAATGCATGTCATCATAAAAAAATAGAACAAATGCAATACCAGTTAGACATCAAAACTGAGCTGCATTAGAGAAAGAAAATCTTTGATAGATACTGATCAAATAGATGCGTTGATGTGGATGGGATGAGATGCTAGCCTTCTGGTATGGATCCTAGAGTAACCATTTGGCTTACATGAGATACTAACAACATAGATTTAACATCCCAAATAATTTCTTTTGAGAATTTCAAAAATTTTGAAAAAAAATAAATAAAGGATGTCTGGAATAACTTTAGAAATCTGTTTAAGAATTTTAATCTTGGAACCACCTTGATTAATTATTCTTTTATAAAGGTCATTTATGACCAAAAGAATGTTTGAATAAAACAAATTCAATTAAGAGATGTGAAGAAATTCAGACATGACTGATCCACAGAACACATTTGATTGGATGTTGCCAGTTAAATCAGAAAGAAAGGAAATCTATCTCATTTATAAAAAAGATTATAGTTAAACACACCTTCAATATCTGTCTATATCTCCAAGATGAGGTATTATGATTATTTAGATTATTCGGACTGTTATTCTCATATTCATTGCCATATTCACAATTTTTTCAGCCATTGAACACCCAGGCCTTCTTCAGGTGATTGCAATTTCGAACCAAACCCTTTCATCCATCAGGGTAGATTATTCTAGTTCCATGTTCCATGCTTCTTTGGAATGTTCCCTTTTAACTCCACTCTCCAAGTTTCTGCTGTAACCTGGTATTGAACTCACAACTCTTTGGGTCTAGTAACTGGATCTAACCAATATCTTTATCCACTGGGTCATGTGTCCTTGAGGACATCTGTGTATGAATTTCTGGGACTTATAAACCTAATGTCTCAGCAACCGTTTTTTACCAGTGCAAATTTTCTGTTATTATTAGTGTTTTTTTGTTTTTGTTTTTTTTTTTTTTGTTTTGTTTTTTTTTTGTTTTGTTTTTTTTTGTTTTGTTTTTTTGTTTTGTTTTTTTTTCTCTTGCACTCCTTATTACTGATTCCCATATTGTATTCATTCCTATTGCTTGGTCGGCTCAGGGGACTTTTGTAGTTTAGCATATGTTCTGATTCTTTAAGTTTTTGTATTTTCCAGTGATGTTATCTGTCTATTATTTCAACATCATCCCACAGGGAGCAGAGATTTCCCTTTTCCCTCCATATATGGTCAGCTACACCTGATTTTTCTGTTTCCCCTTGTGTTACTGCTTTACAATGTTCTTGCAATCTTATCTTAAAGGGGCGGCCTGTTGGAAGAGGTGTCTGTGAAGTGTTGAACCACTTTGGAAGATTGTCTTGGTGTTATATGGACTACAGATCTTTTGTATTTTCTCTGACAATCCCTTCACATCGGGTAAACAAACTGAAGTTGTTTTCTGAGTGAACCAAAAAACTTGGAGAGTTGAATTAAAAGGAAATAACTGAGACATCCAGAAGAGGCATGACATGTAGAACTAGAACAATCTACCCTGGTGGACAAAATAAAGGAATTGGTTCAAAATTCCGACCACCTGAAGAAGGCTGGAGCATGAAACAGCCAAAACATTGTGAATATGGCAATGAAGAAGAGAATAACAATCCGAATAATGTAAATGATGTAAATAAACACACCTTCTGTGATATTCATTTCCAGGTCAAGGAATATAGCATGGAAAACTTGATGTTCATATCCTAAAATAATCTACCAAATTCACCTCCATCATTTATGTTACATTTCTCATATATATGTGTGTGTATGTGTATATACACACACATGCGCACACATAAATAGAATAATGAAACTATAATAATAACAGCACCTGTAAGCAACAGAACTAATACTGCAAACAAGTAAACACTGTTTATATAAAGGCTATATTTTTCACTGTGCTGTGCTAGATAATATTTTTTTAACAAAATCTATCTTACACATTTATAAGTCTACTATTCGACCATCGCTTGAATATTGCTGCCACATCTGGTCTGATACTTCTGCTATATATTTAGAGAATCTTGACAAAATCCAAAGAAGAATCTGCAATGTTATTGGTCCCGACATGGTATCTTGGCTTCAGTTACTTTTACACCGCTGAATTAGCGTAGCTTCCCTGTGCCTTTACTATAAATATTTTCATGGTAACTGTTCTAATAAACCTTCCTCTTTGGCACCTCAACTTTACAAATTTAAGCACAGTACTAGATTGGCAGCTAGGTCCCATCATTTTACAGTTGAAATGGATGCACATAACTGTATGTTCTTTGCTGACAGTTTTTTCTCTCACACTTCTCACCTGTGGAACTCTCTTCTGACATTTTGCCTTGCAGCTAACTTTAATCTTCAAAAATTTATATATAATGTCAATAATTATCTTTTTTCTTCTTAAAGTTTTTTCTTTTTCTCGTATTCTTTCAGACACATCTTAGTGGCTTTATTGCCTAGCTTGGAGTGAAATGATTAACTAAAAAACAGACTAAAAATATATGATTACAAGAGAATAACGTGTATTTAAATCCCTTATACAAATTTAGTTATATTTCATAAAATTATACAAATATTTCGTTAAAGAAAAACAGTTTCAATTAAATTGAGCCCTCATCTTCCTCTTAGTTGTAATGATGGGGGAAAAATTGTCTCAATGTTGACCAAGATGTATTTTGTCCTGATTCTCATTGTCCATTGGCCATTTCAGTTAACCCTAAGAAGCAAACTGAATGAAAACAAACCATCTGAGCCTGTTGCCCAGAGTGCTCCTCTCCCAATCCGAAACCATAGAGCAAGTAGCGTATATGATGGAATGGAGAGGACAAAGAGGGAAAAGACTCCACCCTATGCCTCCCCCAAGAGGGCACGGGCACTGCTTGGCTATTCTCAAGCACAAGCAGTCCCAATACGTAAGTAAAGTTTTTTGGGTTTTTTTTAATACCAAGTTTTTGGGTTCAAATCCTGTTTGCAGTTGTTTTTTTGTTAAGAGAGAAAATATGGTTCCAGATTTAAATTTCAAAAAGGTAGACATTTCTATTACTATTACCCTCAAAATAAACACAAGTTTGTAAGATGCTGTAGAAAGAAAACAAGTGAATCCGTTAATAATGCAACCTTTTTTCTTTTTCTTTTTTTTTTTTCTCCCTGGTTAAAAAAATTTGGTCCACTTCCAGTTGAGATGAAGTTTGTATTTCTTTCTTTCTGTATTTGATATACATTCATTATTTGTTAGTTTTATTTATTGTCCAAAAGCATTTATGCAGTCTTTTAGGTGATGAATTATTTTTACCCTACAATCCTTTTACCACAGATGCAACATCACAAACCTATCACTACTCTGTTGTTTTTAAATTTTCTGACAAGCTGCATTATTTAGTTGAACTAGTTCAGAACTAAGACTCAGCATGCCTTGTATATAGGGATGAACCATCATCATTCCCTTCATATTCCATTAGTAGGGAGGAAGTTCCATTTAGACAGTTTCTTTCGATGAGCTGCTGCTTTGTGGAACACACTTCTTAGAAGCTACTTCCTCAACCACTACAAGCTTAACCTCTTCAAGTCCTATCCTACATATACCCATATACAATTCTTATGTAGATAAAACAACCCCATTCAGTAACAGTATACCTTGAATGGTTCTTAGGCCTTATATTAGATGAACAATAGTGTAAAAAAAAAAAAAAAAAAAATGGACATTATGAAGTAATATGTAACCTTTTATGAAGGATACCCTAAATTGTCTACTTTCAGCAAAATATAGTCTTTCTATAATAATTGTTTCTTTTTGCTTTATTATCTGTATCAATTGTAAAGACACAAATTACTGTTAACATAATCTTGAGAAACATTCTCATATTTTTGTTCTTGCTTTTCATATCACCAAGAAAGCAAAAAGTTCAAAATACATTACTTCATAATGAATTTTACAACAAGAAGACTGCACAAAGTGACAAACGGATTTCTGTTGAAATACTTTGATAATTACACATAACCAAAACATAACTTACAACATGCTGTAGTATGTACAAGATTTGTTTCCGGTTCAGCTCTTGGTTTCTGTTCTACTGAAGTCTTTTCAAGAGAAGCTTTTTGCCATTTTTTTTTTTTTTTTAAATTTAAATAAAAACCTGGAAACTAACAGAACATTATGCTTCTTCGTTTTTGAACTAATGTTTTGTTTTGATGTTTTTTTTCATTGTTTTATCTTGATATTTTAAATATTGTACCAACTGGCTTTCTTTATGTGTCTATTATGTTTTGGGATGTTTTATATAGTTTCAAGGTACTTGTATTTACTCTTTCAGGCATATAATATCAAGATCTTCCAGCAAATATTGGTAATTACTTCCCCACTCAGATATTGGTGGGTTAAGTTTAAAATGAAAACTACTGACAAAATTTATTTGGACTTACTTGAATTCCTCTGGTTCCAGGAGCTCATGACATGTGTGCACAGGTACTGGATATGAGATATATGGGAAGGGAAGCATGGAACAAGGTTTCACATTCCAAAACAACAGACACCTGAGAAAAGCCAGAAAGTATCTCAGTCAAAACTTGATAAAAAGAAAAAAAACAGATTAAGTCTGAATAAAACAACAATCACAATGCTAGTTTAAAAAAAATCTCAGACAGAAATGTACTTGAATATCTAATATTTATTTTGGTAAATTCCACTTCTGTTAGGCACAGATAAAGTTCTGTTCTGTAGTCTAGCACTTAGCTTTACCAATTGAGCATTCCGCAAGAACCTTCATTGTTTTATTTGTCTTATTTATATTTGGACTATAGACTCACAATGTTTCGTCTAGTGTTCACTCTGGCCTTCTTCAGGTGCTTGTCATTCCTGGTAGCCTTCAAGGTATTTCAGACTGAATACTTTATTTAATCTACAAGATTAGATTGTTCTTATTCTGCTGTTCAAGGATATTTCATTTTTTTCTTATTTAGTACTGTTCACACTGTTTCCACTGAGTTTAAATCTTCACTACCCAGCTCAGGGATTGAACTCACAATTACTATATCACCAGATTCACAAACCAATGCTCTTGTCTATGTGATATCCCTAGAAATGAGAAACAAACAAACAAAATGAGAACAATGTATTCCTATAGATTAAAGTTCAAATTTCTCTGAAGCTTACCTGGATCAACAGACCCCTGAAAAAGACCAGAGGAGTACAACAACTGAACCATTGTGATGATAATAATGAGAAGGACAATAGTCAGAATATAAATAATGATAATTCTTCATTCAAGAAATTCACACAGAAATTTATTTTCAAACCACATCCAATTAATTCCTATTTGAAAAGGATTTATAATTGAGCTTCAAATTAGTTCAGCAAATAATCTCTGATTCCTCAATCCATTACTCTACCATGCCTCCGAGTTTGAATTCCAGTCGAATCCATTACATTCACTTATGTGCTAATATCCTTGGGAAAGGTATGAATCTTAGTCTTCTCCCCCCAGCTATGGGTAAATAGCAGGACAGACCGGGTTCTGTAACCTTGGATAGAAACTGGTCTACTGCAGAAAGAAATTGCAACCTACTGCAGGAAAAAAAATCTGCCTTGTCAGTCATGTATCGAAAGATACATGATCACCTAAGCGTGTATCACGCATGGCACATAACTGACCTACTTTGTAAGTGCTTGATATCAAAAGATAAGGATAAAGCATTAATAGAATTAATGTGCCACTAAACTGAGTGGTGTTATTTCAGTCATACTGACTTTGAAGTTTCATGAGCACATGTTGTAATCCCTTTATTCTTCAGGGCTTTTAGCTTCTCTGCTGCTACTTTTCAACCTTTATTTTTATTTATATATAGTTTGGTGTAATTTGATATCTTTGTGTGAGTTTTTCATTTAATGATTGTTTTATTATCTGTTTTTATCTTTAAGTTTTTTTCTGTCTCTTAAGTGATGTAGGGTTTCTTGATGATTGTTAGCTTTGCATTGTGCTGACCATGTTTATGTATATGCCCCCTTAATTGATTTATGTAGGATTGAGCTCTTTTTACCATGTCAGTGTATATGGCCTGCTTGAATTTTTTACTTATTTTTAAGTCATGGTTAAGTGTGTGTATGTGTGTATGTGTACTGTCTTTTTTGTTAATATTTGCTGATATTTGTGTGTATGTATATTCCTTTGTGAGTTTGGTGTGTGTTATTTTGGTGAGTGTTATATTATCTAGTTGTTCTTTTTTTTCCTTTTGTCATCTAGTTTTTTGTTTGGTTATGATTAAGTATTTATACATGTGTGTTTGTGTATATATAGTAGGTTTGTGTTTGTAGTGGGGTTGTTTTGTGTTGTATTTATTTGTTTCTGTTTGTATTGGTATTTAAGTAGCAAAGTAAGTATTTATTTGAACGTCTACATTTCCCCATTATTTCATTTTTCTTGTTTAGTAGTTTGCTTTGGTTTTTAAAGGTAATTATTGTTAACTTTTCCCCCAGACACAGTTTACAGTTTCTGCTATTGCTATTATGCAGTGGTGCTCTTTCTGTGATTTCCCATTTAATTTTGGTGGTGATGTTTTCTTTTTGGCTCCATGTATATTTTGATAGTGTTGTATGGTTTTTGTATCTTTCTGTTTTAAATATTTTGTGATTGTTAAATCTTTCTTGAAGTTTGTTTCTGTTGCTCCTATGTAAATTTTTTCATCTGTGTTAATATTGTTTGTTACAATGGCTTCATATATCATTGGTTAGACATTTTTTTTGTTAAGTAGGCAGTTGCTGGTTTATGTTGTTGTTATTGCTATTGGTTTTGTTGTATTTTTTGTGTTTGGTTATTATTTTCTTCATGTTGTTCATACAGCTGTAACTAATTTTGACTGTTTTTGTTGGTGATTTTTGATAGTTGTGTTTGGGAAAATGTTTTTCAATTGTATTGAAGAATATTTTTCCTATTTTTGTTTTTATTATATTATTGTAGGATGGGTTAAACCAGGTTGTTTCTTTTTCTGTTTTTGTTTGGTTTGTTTTCATTTATGTGTTCCAGTTTGTTTGAATAGCCACTATTTTTTAGTGCTGATTCGTATGTTTCTTTGTTTTTGTTGAATATTTAAATGCTGTTGGAATTTATTGATAGCCTTTTATTTATGGATATAGCTATGTGTTTGAATGTGTTAGGGGGGATGGTTGGAGTTTTTGTTGATATATATAGGGTTGTTCTTTGCTTTTCTGTTTAGTTTCTATATATTGTTGTTTAAATTGAATGTTATATCTAAAAAAAAATTTTACTTTTAGATATGATTTTCTTGCAGATTAGCGATTTGTTGAAGGACAAATAAAGTTAACTTTAAAGTTTAAATGTAGTCAAAGTTGGGATAATTGCATAATAGTCTTCTCTTATTTGCAAATAATTATAAATTCTATAAGTATGAAATGATTTAATATCAAACTTAAGGTCTGCTTTTTTAGATTTTTTTTTTGAATGTTTTGAAAAGAAAATCTGCATTTATCTAGAATACAGCAAAATATAGAAACATGTAACTTAAAAATATTCTCCCTTTTTCTTTTCTCTACTTGAATAGTTTTGTATCTGTTATCTATATTATAAAATTGTTTCTACACTCATTTAAATTCTTTGTTAATATTTCATTTATTCTTTTATGCTTTCTTTTCCAGCAAGTTCTGAAGAAATTGGAGGAAGAGCCAAGGACGCCATGAGATCCGTACTGGATCGTTCTGGAGCTGATTCCCCTGTTGAGTCCCCACCTCGAAGTTTCAGTTTCTATGATAGCATCAACTCTGATCCCTTACTGAACTTTGAATTCACTGGTACTCGCAGTGAACTAAGTCTTTCTACAAGTCACCTGGCCAACATTGAATCAAAACCCAGGGATGGTTCTCCTCCAGAGTCCAAAGATTGTGTAGATGGGAAAACATCCTGTATTACTGATAAACAGATCACCGAAAAGAGCCACTCACTGGTCAAGTCTTTGTCACTTGATGATGGGCATACCTGTGATCTGACTACTTCCACACAGGAAGGCAAACTGACACAAAACAGTAAGCCTGCTCCTGTCCCTGCCAATCCACCCACATCTACCCTTAATCCCGAACAGACTTCATTGCATGTACCCCTGAAAGTCAAACCTGCTAAGACTAACTCACCAAAACCTAGTCATAAACGATGTAGATCGGATATTCCATTTGTTAAGGACAGTCATACAATTCCCAGCAGGACTAACCTTCTTACAACTAAATCCAATAGTTTTACAACTGATGATAAAACAGCTCAGAATAAAGCAGGTATGGAAATTTCTCCTTTATATTCAAACTAGCAAGGGTACTTGGTGTTGACTGGGCTAAAACAGATTTGAATAACATTGAATTTACTTGAAAGGTTTCACAGATAGTAAAAATGGCAAATAATCCTTTTAATAGAAGTAAGAGCAATGAATAGTTTTCTTTTTTTTTGTTGGGTCTTCTTTAAAAAAAATATATTTAAATACAGTGTCTGTTTTACAGTTCAATCAAACAAAATGTGAGGAGGTACAGGTGAACTAATACTTAACAGTGCAGAAAATAGAATCAACATGCCAGGTTCAATTCCACCCTAAGACAGTTTGTTTTTATTTCTCACCAATATTTTGGAAAACAGGAAACTTTTTCTTCATTTTTCTCTCTATGGATGCAGATCAGGATCTCTAGCTTTGGTTAGCAACCAGTTTAGAACAACTCTGAATTAAAAACTGTAAAGAAGGCATTATCTTTTCCAAGAGCAACCATTCAGTTTGCAGATGTTGAAGTAAAGGAAGCTGTGGAGAGCCATGACTGCTCCTATCTTGAAGGAATATGGCAATAATAAAAAAATCAAAATTCTTAACATGAAGCATAGGTTAGCAAGCTAGTCTTGCAGTAGTGAGTTGAATTCTCACTGATTGCTCCACAGTTATAGCCATTTACCTTTTAGAAATAAAAGCACGTTTCTTGCAGAACAATATTCAGCAAGTTAGTCTTACAAGGCAATCCTACAGTAAAGAGGATGAAAAAAACTGAGTGTTTCACACTTGTGGTCATATGTTGTACTTGGCTAACTTTGTTGTGGGAACATAGGTATCAACAATGAATGGTGACAGATACCAAACTTTAGGTGGAAGAGTAAGTCAACTGTATATGCTATCTGTTTCACACTGAGAGGTTTATATATATATATATATATATATATATATATATATATATAATAGTCAAATCTCAGCTGGTCAGTGACCGACTATGACTTCCAGTTTCATGTGCTTTCACGCATAATCATGAGGCAGTCAATGACTGCTTGATGATTACATGAAAGCGCATGAAACTGGAAGTCATGGTTGGTCACTGACCACTTGAGATTTGAATTAAAGTACGTTAAAGCCCTGCCATTTTTGTATGGCATTGAGCACTCTTTTTTTTCCAATGTGCAGTCTTGGGTAGATTATTTTGGAGGCTGCTCATCCTTATCTCTCTCTCTCGATATATATATCACAAGATAAAGGTAGCACCATGGTGAAAATTCAGTCTGTTGGTGTTGAGACTGGAGTAACCGCTCCTGGGTGATGGTATATGAAGGCTGTGTGCTGCCCACAGTACATAATTCCTGTCTTGACTGTACAGACAAGATCCAAAGCAATACAGGGCATTATTACACTTGGGGGCAACTCCAGTTTTCTGTTTGGATGTACTTCCATAGCCTTTTTCATGTTTAGATATGACCTCAAGGCAATGGAGGCTTAAATTCAGGGTTTTCCTTACTCTAGTTGGACTTCCTTATTAGGCTGTTGAACTCCATCTACCCAAAGCAGCTGGTTATGAGGTACCAGTTGTTCACCTTTGCCTATTCTCCAGTTGTTGCTGGACTTAATTTTTTGAAGCTATTTGAGACATGCTATGGTGGTATTTTATAGACAGTGAGAGCTTGTCCCACTACCATCGATTTTTTTTTTTTTTGTACTATAAAACAATGTGACTTTGTATTTATTGGTATTGAACTTTTTTTTTCCTTGCTTTCTTAAGTTACTAAATCTACACCAATAAATGTACATACCTTGTGCTACCAAAGCAACTGATTATCATATAGCTTTTTATTTCTTTTGTGTTAGCTTTCTTTTGATATATTCACTTTTAATGAACTAGAAAGCAGAATTCTTTATTACATGCAACAATAATTAATTGTATCATTAAAAATCCAAAATTACTCATTCAGAAAATATAAACAATTGCAAACTTACTTAAGTACTGCTGTTTTTTTTTTGTACAGTAAACTAGTATATTACTTAAATTCTTTTATCCTTTAAAAATAATGGTAACTGTATTTAAAGCTCTGATGATGATAGTCTGACTTGACAGTCGATTCAGTCAAGATTTGTTGAAATACTATGTAATTGGGTTGGAGAGGTATCAGAATTTAATGTGTGATCTTGAAAAAATACCTTGTAAAAACTACGAATCCATTTTTAGTGTAGTGGGAAATTGCAGGCGTGCCAAAATTTGATGTTATTAAGTTTACCTGTTCTTGATCTCCTTTTTGCTCTTTGATTTGCTTGATTACTTGATTTGTTCATTTTATTGATTTTATTTATTTGAACAATGCAATGCAATCCTCTGTGTTTTAATGTCAACATTACTGTCTAGATCAATGTTTCTCAAACTTTTTAAGCAACAGCACACCTAGGAGCAAATGAAAATATCACAGCAAACTTAGCAAAACTTTTAAAAGGTATACATTTAAATGTTATGAAATAAAACCATAGATTTAAAAAAATGCATACACAAATATGAATTTGATTTATTTCAATGTTTCTATTCAACTATTTGTGCAGCTTATTTATTAAAAAAATAAAAATACTTTTTAAAAAATGAATATTAAAACAAAGTATTTAGAATAACATAATTGAAGAATAGTGTAAAGAATTATTTGAAAAAATAGTTTACTACTTATTCATTTATTCAAATACTAACGCTGTTTCTATTATTACTTCCACACAGACATACACACATTACATTCACTAATGCCACCCTAATTAAAAAAAATCATAATTCTTTAAAAAGAAAATACTTTGAAAATTTTATAACATTATTACCAACTATAAATACACACCTAAAACATTACATTGCCATCTTTCTTTGAATCCATTCTTAAAGAAATTGACTTATATCTATCTAATATAAAGAATACATTCTTAAAGAGGTCAGCTAAAGTTTAGAATGATATGACACCCTGCCACAGCAGCTGACTACACAATGTGAAGACATTAGATCGCCTACTAGACATACACAATCACATTACTACTCTTTGCCCACTTAGACATACAAGAATTTTTGCACACCTACATACATATAGAATTATCCATGGTTTTAATACATGTGACATGTGTCTGACCAATGAGAACAAACAAAATTGAAAATACTAGAATTTCTGTCTCTTTGTCTGTTTTCCCTCAATCTCTGACAAAACTTTAATAAAAGGGAAACATGTAAGATTGACATTCATTTCCTATTTGTTCATTATTTTATTATCCTCTTGAATTCAAATCTGCATTTGATCTTTAATTCCCCCCCCACATATATATATATATATATATATATATATATATATTATAAATTAATTGATTTAAAATATGGTTTTTTTTCGCTACACAGTTCCAACCATGTTTCAAAAATAGAAGCTAAAAACCCCGAATTTAATTTTGCAATTAAATTAAAAGCATTAGTTCCATTTCATCTTCAAGCGAATTTTGGAGTAACTTTTAAAAATTACCAGGTTTTAAAGACACAGCTAAAATCACGTTTCCATGGTTACAGAATATTCTACTTAAATTGAACAAGGGATGTCTAGATTTTCCTTATGTCAGTATCATTGTATCAGTTATTAGCTACAATTTGGTAAGGGGTAGGGATGTATTTTACAATGAAACCTGACATCAGTTAAATGGATGTCGTCTGAATTTTTTTTTTAAAAAAAAAAAATTGTTAACGGTAAAAAAATTTCAACGTCATTTTTTAAAAATTTAAAGATTTTTTTTTTTTTTTTTTTTTTTTTTTCCTAATACTTTTTATTAAACTACGATTTGTAATATTCTCCTTTTTAATTTTTATTTTACTATATTCTTTTTAAGAACAGTTAAATGTATTAGAATCCATTATATTATGTAGGATTATTTTAACATCAAATTTAAGTATGTATATGAGGTTACATTTTTTTTTTTTTTTTTTTTTTAAATTTATGACTATGACGGCAAAAATGGTTACTTAATTTCACTGATTTAGTAAACTTTTATTTTATATATAAACCTTTTCTCATGTAAGTACTAAGGATATGGGTCATTCAAAAGCTTACATCTTATGGCATTTCATATTAATTTTATTTTACTATAGGTGTTTTTTTTTTTTTGATTCTTTTTAGTGCGTGTAGTATTATTTAAAAGAAATTTAGGTTAGAATTCATTCAATTTAACTACAATTTTAATTACAATTTCAAAATTACTACTTTAAAATTTTAAAATATTTTCATTGTTTAGTTTTAATAGACTATATTAATTTATAACAGAAGGATAATTACTCATAGTAAGTAAAATTATTTTTCCATATCAAAGTATATGTAAATTACAATTTTTAAACTTTTATATTTAGATATTATTTAAGTAATATTAATGGCACAGACTACAAAACTATCTAAGTCATTTCTCAGATTTAGTAAACTTTATGTATTAATTCAAGTTTAAGTATGTATATGAGGTTACATCTTTCTTTTTTTTTTTTTTTTTTATTAAATTTATGATGACTATGACGGCAAAAATGGTAACTTAATTATATATATATATATATATATGCTGTGACAATATTTCATGGCACGCTGGTGTGCCACAGCATAGCAGTTGAGAATTAGTGGTCTAGATTATCACCTGAGATTTGCTTGGTTTTGTAAATTTAAAATGTTTTACCATTTTTTAAAAAATTTCTTTCATTTGTTTTTATTTTTATTTATTTTAATTCACAATTTTTATTTTTTATTTATTTTTATTTTATTTTTTATATTTTTTAAATTTAAAAATTTTTTTTTTGCCATTTTCTTTTCATTTTTTTTTTTTTTTTTACCATGGTTTCTGCATGTGATTGAATTTAAATCTTAGCTTAATATCATAAACTAATATCCATTTGAACCCAAAAATGTTTAATTCACAACTCTGGCTTAAGACAATAACTAATGTATAAAATATGAAGCTTATTCACTTCTAATGAATAAGTTTTTACACTTTTCATTAAAATGCCAT